TTATTGGAATTTCAGGGCACTTCTCTCAGTGAGAAAAACTGTTTGAAGTGAAGACAAGGCTACATTTTTCACTGGACTGTGTGCTGGGTCACCTGGGGGCACAGAGACTTTCAAAGGTAGTGGTACCTAGGCAGAGTGGCTCCGAGAGAGCAGGGAATTCATGACACAGTCATCAGGATGATGATGGAATATTGTGTGATGTGATGATCTTGGGGGAACACTCATTCTTCCTTATCAACTTTCCCTAGAGGAGAAGAAGCTTCTGTTCCTCTTTCCAAGAGGGAGTTGTGTTCCAGTAAACACTTTCAGTTTCTTTCCTCCCTCATAACCATTGGAACCACTTTACCAGTGGTGGGATTACCTTGCTTTCAAAACAAGACACAAACTCAATTCTGGCTTGCTTTCTCTCTTGCTGTGGCTGTATCATGGATCACTAAGAGGGCAGTGGGCTTTCCTCTGCTTCCACAGTGATGCGCGTACTTTGATTAGGACCTGTCTCAGAATGTTTTCCAAAGGCAGCCCTGGAAACCTGTCATTCTTTCCAGTCCTCTAACCCCATATGTGAGACACACTTTAGTCTGGCTAGGTATATGAAGTAATTTTTGCAGATCTAGTTTTCTCCACAGTCAGGTCTTAAGGTGCACATTTACAGAGAGATAGGTCCTAGTCTTATTTTCAATCTAAAGTTTTAGTATAGATCCCTGCACTTTGTGGGATATTTGATACTTATCTGACCCAGTAATAAAGATAATAATCTAATGAGATGCTCATTTGGTTTCATGTATCTATTCTCAGTTGGTTGGAACCTGGAGAAGATGGGTGATTGCCATCCATGGCTTTCAACACTCATGACCATAAATTCAGAAAGATGGCAAACATCATGATATGCTTGGTGTCTCACTTGCCTCAGGAAGATGATGAAGGGCAGAGTTTGTGCCAGGTAGTCATGAAGAGACAAACTTAAATGAAATCCAGACGTCAAGAACTTCATCTTCTATGCAGATGTCTAATATCTTCATATTCTGTAACCTGGAGCTGTTGACTTCTGTCCCACAGCCTATTATAGCCCCAATTATGGACAGTAAGGCAGAGCACAAGATGGAAAAAGTAGGTACTTTCCAAACCCACTCCCTCAATCACTGGGTTATGCTATCTTGGCTCAGTTGGTAACTTCATGCTACAGGCTATATAAGACATCATCTTTCTGTCTTCCTCACTGCAAGCAGACTTTGGTATATAGTTCTAAGATTGATCTGGATTCATGTTCCTTCAATTTACTTTGTGTATGTGTACAAACATTTCTATGCCTGCTTTGACACAAACACTTCTATATCTGCTTTGGCTTTTGCTTTACCTCCCTTTACTAGTCTCAACCCCTAGTACCTTCTTTTATTAACCTACTCCAAGGAGTGACTTGAATATGTGTATATTGGAAGACTAATTCTCAACTTGCCAAAAAGTATACAGAATTAGATCTGTGTAAATCAAAATATAGAATAGGGCATTCAGACGTTCTTCAGGAATTATAATATCTAAATATACATATTATTTATATATGTATATATTGCATATTCTGTTATTATGTACCAGGAATGATACTAGATGCTTTTGTCTCACTTAATCCTGATTGGTGTGTGTGTGTGTGTGTACTTATAACACATACGTGTGTTATATATATAAATAACATACTGCATATCTGGGATATATTGTGGGTTTAGTTCCAGACACCTGTAATAAAGTGAGCCAAATGAATTTTCTGATTTCCCAGTGCACATAAAAGTTATGTTTATACAATACTGTAGTCTCTATGTGTGCAATAGCATTTTGTTTAAAAAAAATACATACCTAACTTTAAAATACTTTATTACTAAAAAATGCTAACCATCATCTGAGCGCTCAACAAGTTGTAATCACTGATCATAGATTCACATAACAAATATAAGAATGAGAAAGTTTGATATATTGTGAGAGTTACCAAAATGTGATAGAGACCTGAAGTTAGTAAGTGCTACAGGAAAAATGTTGCTGATAGCCTTGCTCAATACAGGGTGGTCACAAACTCTGTTTTTAAAAATGGCAGTGTCTGATGAAATGCAATAAATTAAGATATGCCTGCAAATAATATACGCAATGATATATACACAAAATATATAATGTGCATATATACACAGTATGATATATATGTAAATTGAAAAAGTAAAGAATATAGTATAATTTCTTATACAAAATATGTGTTTGCTACTATTATTAATAACATCCATTGAGAATAAAGATAGATTTTGATTAAAAAAAGATTCACTTAGAAAAAAACTGGAGAATAGACAATATATTTTAATTTTTGTAATTAGAAACAGAATAGAAATGTATCCCAAATCTATTCCCATACTTGATTTCTAGCTTCCATTATGTATGTAACTTAATGGACTAAGACCATATTTTACCATAGTCATAGGATGTAAGGGCTGGAAAGTCCAGTGGAGGCCATCAGATATACTTTCCTTATTTTACATATGTGCAAACTAAGATCCAGCCAGACAGGCTGGATTGGTACAGAAGATAATTGTCAAGATTTTCTGGCCCTTTCCACTACACAAACATGCAAAATATCTTGAAATTTGGATGTTTAAAAAAATACCTTTTTTTTTTGGTCTCTTCAGATTTTTAGAAGAATGTTTTCATTTTTAATTTGCATGTTAGTTCCCTTGCAGCCAAGCTTTTATCCTCTTCAACAAGAAGCACTGATGTAATTATAAACAGAGAGTTCAAAGTTGAAAAAACTGACTTTGAGTATCATATACCACTAGAATGCCTGGAACTGTGGAACTGTTTCTGAGAATAAATCATTACTAATGGTTCTCCCATTAGGGGTTGATTCTGATAATGACTCAGGAACCTCCCAGCCACTCAGTCAGCTCTGATTAAATGTTGTGAAAACTGAGAGTGATTTTTAGTTCTGACCAATTGAATACATGATATATTCTGGGAAAGGTGTTATTTGCTTAGGTAGCAACATTAGGAAAGTGGAAGAAGGAATTCTTAAGGCATTTTCAAAATGAATTCAATGACTCTAACTCTTGTTTTCTTAACTGGCCTGCTAGTCTTATGTCAGTAATCATATTATTGTCACATAAAACAGACTCTAAAACAAAACACAACTAACAAAAACAACATTAGCTCAAAATCTATGGAAACCTCCTGTTAGTAACCATAATTTATCAAATACCGTCAACCATACAAATGACATTCCAGATCACTGAATTCCATTTAAATTTTTAAAAATACACTTTGTTATTACTTATCTGTGAATGCCTCATATGTTTTTCTGTCATTTACTTAAAATCTCTGCCTATAGCAGAAAGCCCTAGATTTGACAGTGGCTCAGTTAATTTGTAGTCGCATGTTATTGGGCTAATCAGCTTGCTCATCTGTAAAATAGGGATAAAAATGGTACCTATCTCGTGGGATTGTTTTGATGGTTGAGATAACCTATGGAAAGCACTTAGCATAGTGCCTGATACATAGTAAATAACTGCTCACCAGTGTCTGTGATAATTAGCCAGTTCATTTTATTTTTTCATGGAGGCAATAAGGTGTATGGGAAGACCACGTGCTCTGCAGTGAGTCAGTTCTGGGGTAGAGTTCAGTCAGTCACTGTGTGCCGTGTCTTGAGAAATTTAATTAACCCCTTGAGTCACGATGTCCTCGTTTCCAGAATGGATATACTGTAGTAACATCCAGTTCACTGGGTTGTTGTGAGGAAGGTGCCTGTTTCGTCCCTGTCCTCTCAATCGATCATCAACAAGTTAACATTTATGAAGTCTATTCCAAGGACAAGGCAAAGCACAAGGTGGCCCAGAAGTTTCAGAAGAAAACAAACGCGTGTTCTCCACCGTGGCCAAGGACAGCGTCTAACAAAATCAAGCCAACCACGCAGAGTGAATCGCTATTGATATATATGCAGATTAAAGTGGGTCTCTAATCCATTCCATTTATATTTTTCCCAGTGTGGATGAGGAGAAATTTTCAATTAGAGCCCTTTTCCTGCTATTTTACGATCCCCAAAGCCCAAATGAAATATGGGGCTGATGAAGGTCCCTAGAAAAACTGGGAGCAGTCAGTCACAAACTGTTCAGTGACCCGGGCCTCAGAAATTAGGATGAAACAAGCCTCTGCTTTCTAACCGAGGGCGGACCTCAGTTGTACCGGGCAGGTAAGCGGAGGGCGAAACGCCAGCCAAGCTGGCCGGGCCCCAAGCAGGTCCCCGCCCGGCACCACCACGTCCCGGGCCCGGCACGGAGGATTCTCCCGCAGAGCTCCGGCCGTCACACGGTTAACCTCCCCCAGGGAGACTGCAGGAGGGGGACCGGCTCCGCCCGGCGCCCCGCCCCCGGCACGGGCCGCACCTGCCGCGCGCGCACGCCCCCCGCGCCCGCCGCCCGCGGGCCAGGCCTCGCAGCCGCCGCGGGTTCCGGGCGCCCTCCGCCCGCCTGCCCGCGCCCCGCCGCCGCCGCCTTCCGCGGCCCGTCCGCACCCGCCTGCCTCGGCGGCGGCCCCGGCGCCGGAGCCGCAGCTCTGCGGGCCGCGTTCCCCGCCGCCCGGCCGCCGCGCGCGCTGGGGAGAGCGGGGCCCGGGCGCCAGGCGCGAGGGCCGCCGCCTGCAGTTCGCTGCGCTCGAGCTGCAGGGAGGGCGGCCGCCGCCTCCTCCTCCCTCCTCAGTCCTCACCATCCTCCTCAGAAGCACCCCGGGCCCCCGCCCCGCCCGCCCCGCCCGCAGGAGCGAGGCCTCGGGAATCCAGGGGAGTGGCTGTGGGGGCGCGTCGCGGCTCCCAGCGCGGCCAGCCCCTCTTCCAAGACATGGTCTGATCCCCATTGTAAAAGCTGCGCCCCGGAGAGGACGAGAGAGTGGTGTTCCCGGCTCGGGGCTGAGGGATCCCTTCGTGCTGAAGCTCTTGCATTATTTAAGGGTGGGGCGGGAAGGGCCCGGGATTTGGGGGAGCGGGGGTGGGCGGGGAGGAGGACCCCGAGGGGAAAGGACTCTGCGAGAGAGTCGTTGAGAGACTATGGGGAAGGACCAGGAGCTGCTGGAAGCTGCTCGCACTGGAAATGTGGCTCTCGTGGAGAAACTCCTGTCTGGCAGAAAAGGAGGCATCCTGGGCGGTGGATCCGGACCCCTGCCTCTGTCTAATCTGCTAAGGTAAGACGGGCAGCAGCGCCGGGCTGGCATACCTCTTTAGGCATTGTGATGGATGCGTCCTCCTCCTCTCGGTTATTGCACCTGGCGGCTGCCAGCGATTCATTCTTAAATTAGGTGGGAAAACAGACTGTGTGTATGGAGAGGAGGCATGAGCCTCTCAGTCAGCCTGATGCCTTAGATTCTTTGAGTAATTTTAAAATAGCCTTTCCATCAATGCGTCAGTAGCTACTTTTCTCTGAGCTGTGGTGCAGAACTTGTACATGTACTAATGTTGCTGGAAGAAAATCAGCGCCCCCCCCCCCACAACCCGCCCGCTTTCCATCAATGGTTATTACAGATTTCAGCTTAGAACCCAGCCTGTTTTTCGTCTGTATAAATGAAATTGGCAGAGAAGCTGTTACGTGCATGCAATTACCTTGCAAAAGCCACAGCCTTCGGTTGCTGCTGTCCTCTTTTGCAGAAGGCATTTGCTGTGCTGTGCACCTTCTGATGAGATGTCATTAGTGCAGGGTGTGTGTAAAACTTGAGGCAGGTCAGGCAGCTCCAGCAGTACTTTCATTTACCTGGACGTAGATGAGTGAAACTTGGGTGTTATTTCTCAGGGTGAAGGATGCCAGGTCGGGATTGGAATAGTGTACATGGAATATAGCATATAGTAGAGGCCTTTTAACATGAAGATGTTGCAGGTTTGACTAATACTGCTTGGAGAATCTAAGATGACATTTAAAAAAAAATGTCAAGGTCTTTATGCAGGCAGTACCCTAGAAATAGGGCTGATTTGCATACTTGAGAAACTGAATTTAGAAGTTGAACTGATGGACAAATGAAATCAGTTGGAAGGGAGGAAGCCTGAAGAATATTCACCAGCTAAAATTCAAGGAAAGCTCTTAGGTTTCCAAAATTATGACTATTCACTTTACCCTGGATATTTTTGGAGGCATCAGTCATCCTTCATATCTTCACCCGAAAACATCTCTTAGGCAATCCAGCTGTACTTGTAAAAATTTTTAAAAGTCCAAGTGATTTTCTTGTTTTTTAAAAACTGTTTTGTGCTACTCTTGACCGGTGCTTAATACAAACTTTTGGATGATAAAATTGTGTTCTTTACATAGATTCTCATGTGTTGTAGTGGTCAGACAGTGCAATTAATTACAGACCTCGCTTATCGGGAAAATGAAAACATTTGTATTTTGGTGAAATGAATTTAGTTGGAAAATAGTTGATGGGATTTTAAAAAGCTCCATATGTCATCATCTATTCTTGTTGACGGTGATATTTTATTGGAATGAAGTTCACTTCAGAGCAATAAATATTTATGGGACTTTTTTTTTAGTAGGTCCTGGAAGTGATGATTCATATGTGTGTGCTCCCTTGTACTTTCTAACACAAATAGACAGTGTGCACATATTTCAGATTATAGCTCCCTTAATCACAGGTAATTTATACAAAAGCAATTTATCTGATTTCAGTTTTAAGTGCCAGTGGATCATATCAATTATAAAAATGATTATGGTTGGAAACCTACATCCTGAAAGAGGTTTCTAAAATAGTTCCTTTGGCAAAACACTAAAGAAGTCTTTGAGAACAGTGAAAACTTTAATTTTGAGTAAGATAAATGGTATTTTAAAAAACCTACCTTTGTGAGAGAATTGAAAGACAAGCATCTTTTAAATACTTTCTCATTTGTGTCATTTTAGAAAAACAATAGATGTCAAATTTTAGAAATATAATACCAACTATTTAATGTTGGTAGACATTAAATCAAATGTCGAAACTGTGACCCATATGTACTTACTGAATGAGATCTTTTCTCTCTTGTTGGTTTTAGGTAGTAATAGTAGCTCTACAACAAGAATGAACATAAAAAACAATAAAACTAAAAAACGTGTTCCTTGGAGTAGATTGAACTACATTATAAAAGTCAGAATCAAAGCCAATAACCTTTAAACTTACATTTATCTACTTATACTGAATAAACAACTGAAATAATATCTTTGAAGAAAATGAGAGTTGAATTTGGATTCTTTGGGTGATCCTTTGACTATATGAAATTCCTAATAAGGCACAATTTTGTTAATTGTTACCTTATTTCACAAGTGATTGCCATCAGAAATTTATTTACAGGGTGATGGGAAATGTAACCCCTTCCCCTCCAAACATAATGACACTTTGAAATTTTTAAATATTTTGGAATCAATTATGGACTAGGTTTTCTTTTCAGTTCTTTCACATTTCCCCTTCCCTTGATTACTACTTGTGTTATGTAATAATAGTGTCAGCTCCTGTGCTAAATTTTTATATGTATCATCTCATTGAGTTCCTATATGAGCCTTAAGTGGTTGATCCTAATTTCAACAGGTGAAGGATTGAAGAGATAGGAAGATTAAGAATTTGCCCAAGGTCACATAATTAGGAATGGCAAAGATTTGAAGTTGTGATTGAAATTTGCTTTACTGTGTGTGTTGTCTTATTCATTGAATCTGTTTTATTCACAAAAGTTAAAGGTATTAGGTTTACATAGTCTAATCTGAACCCTTTTTTTTGTGATGAATAAAAATTTAGAAATTCTTAATTTTTTTTCTAATTAAAATCTCATGACTGCCCTTTGAGGCATTACTAGAAAAGAACTTTTCTGAAGATGCTTCTATTTACATATTACCTACTAGGTGAGCAGTAGGTATACGACGGGGAATCAAGTGTGCTTGGGTGACACTGCAATTTTCAGAAGAAGTAAGAATGACCTTGAATAAATACGAAAATCTCTCTAAGCCTCACTGTTCTATTCTATAAAATGGGAAGAGTAACAGTACCTACCATATAGGGTTGTTGTAAGGACTGAATGAAATATAATGATGTGAGTGCAAAGGATTTAGCACCCTGGTGTTCCTCATTACTGTTATTATTTCTCATGCAGCTCTTAAGCACTTGACTCTATTTCTGAAGGTCTTGATTACCAAGAATTTGTTTCATATTGAATGGGGAATAAATTTCAGTAGTAAGCTTTCCATTAGAATTACAGAATTTTCAAATAGAACGAGGTCTTTTAATCTAACTTCTTACCTAGAGGAATTACCTCTAACAACCTTTACCAGTTAGTTATTGAAGCCCTGTTAAACTCTCCAATGACCAGATCCATTCCATTTTTTTGACAGCTCTAATTATTAAAAAAAACACAAAAACTCCTTTTATTGAGTTGAAATCCACTTCCTTGTAATTTCCAGCAATTGGTACTAATTTGGCTATATGAGTCAATATAAAGTAATCTAATTCACCTGCCAGGATAATTCCTCAGATGCATACATTTTAGCTATATTATTTTATAAGTCTTTTTTTTTTAATGAAAGTACTATCTTTTCCAGAAACCTTTTCTCATGTGGCAATAGATATAGGTAAGCTTATATTTTCATACTTTCACTATCTTTTTCCTTATTTGTATATCTCCAGTTTTGTAAAGAATCTCTTAAACTGTGGTGAGCAGAAATGGGCAAAATGATTTGACCAATATAGAATATACAGGAACTTGATGCACTGTTGATTAAACAAAAAACCAAACAGGTTACAAAATAGCATTAGTGTTACGACCCTGTTTTTTTACGAGAAAATAAGTGTGTATGAACATTTAGAATGTGCGTTAAGAAATCTGGAATAATAAACACCAAAATGTAAATAGTATTCATTTTTGAGTAATGGAATTATGGGTGATCTTTATTTTCTTTTTGTCTATCTAAGTTTTCTAATATTCCACAAAGAGTACGTATGTCATGAAAATAAAACAGCAGCTACTTAAAACATAATACAATGAAATTAATAACTCCTTATTTTTGATCTAAGACCTACCTTAATACAGAACAAGTTTTTCTGAGCTGTATAATGGTATTGGCTCACATTGAGTGGATACAAAATTAAAACTTTCAGGTAATTTCTTTTCAGTGACTTGTGAAGCCATGGTTCTCGTATCCAGTACTTGTAAAATAATTGATTAAATTTAAATTATTCCTATTGCATTTAATCTTATTTGTTTTAACCTATATTTATCATCTATCCAGATCTTTTTTACTCTTCAGTTGGTTTTCCAGTATATTAACTTCTCTCCTCTGCATCACTTAATTTAGATTTAATAAACATGTTTTTTATAACTGGAATTCAACACACCACAGTATATCCTTAGAGAACCTCTCTTCAGTTTAGTATAAGTTTAAAAGTAGCAGTCTTTATGCATGGTATTTCTACCAACATTGAAGCCACTTAATAGAACTGTCCTTCAGTCACTTCTCTCCAATATACCTGTGAGAGGATTCTGAGGTATCTTATCCATCGCCTTTCTAAATTCATACCATGTCCTGTTTATGGCATTCCATTGATCTACTCCTTTAGTAGTAAGTCTTGAATTTCCACCCAGATCAGGCTTTTTTATTACAGCTTGTTTCTAGTAGTGAGCCATGGTGATGCATAGTATTGATGCACGTTCCATCTACCCCCTTGTGTCTAATTCTTCTTCTGGATACTTACACTCATTTAAAGCAGCTGTGTTTATGATCGCTGTCTCTTTGGAGGGTCAGTAGGCTCCTAACATTATTTGTTTATCCTGTCTGGTTTAAAAATGATTCTCACCAGGAACCATAGAAGCAAAATAGAAGTTGGGAAGAATCAGATATTTGGCAGTGTTAGATGTCATAGGAAATTCTCTTGTGGTCTGAGACCAGCCACTGCTTTACTTGTATTTTATGAGAGCTTAAGGTTACATTAGCTGCCATAGCAGTGAATTTTTATACCCCCTGCTCTTTGTTTTCTTTTTTTTCCAGACTTGGCTGAAAAGGGACATCAGCATTTTTCCAGTTACATACTTCTGTTTTGTGTTTGTTTTATTTGTACTCATCATCCCCTTTCTCTTTTAAAGAAATCTGAGCTCATCAGAGGCTCATCACAGTGCTCAGAATGAGTTGCCGCTTCCTTTTTCTTTCTCCATATTGTATGTGAGATTTCATTTTACTTAACATATC